AGATCAAATTAAACCTGCCAACAATAGCCTTTTTTTCCTTAACTAGCACAAATACCCCCCACCTATGGCCTGACTTTGGTAAAAACTGACAGTTTCCTAAGAAACATTTCAAATAATATAAGAGATTTCCTAGCTCAAAAGCCTTTATAGATGAGTAGTTCCTGTTGTGGTTTTTTTTTCTTAATATTTTGCGTACACCTGACAGGTGAAATTTGTGCTTGAGACTGTAAACTGAGATGAAGAAATGAGATCTCCTATTTATGTGGAATTACAGCATTTTAATCGAATGAGCTTTAGAAAAACCTGTACTCACATGAGAAAAGTAAAGAGTTTTCTGCCTGATTGATTCAAGCACTGTGTGTGTTGTGTATAATAATTGCTTTTTCAGTAAGCAGCCTGGTGCCATCAGTGACATTTCTTGTTGCTGATATGTTCTCTTCAAACTCTGCCTTGCACCAGCCTTTGTTTTAGGCACTTTTTCCTGCCTTACTCCTCAAGGTTAAGAAATCATAATTTACAATTGTTAAGGATTACAGTTACTAAGGAAATAAGAAAATGGTAATGAAAGGAAGGATTTAGTGACATGGAGTACTAACCAGAGTATTGAATTCGTGGCTGGAGCTGAATAGTTACTCTGAGCCATCAGAAACCAGTGGTATGACAGAAAAAGCCCCCATGGCCCTGTTGGGATGTTCATTCATCCCAGCAGTGGCTTAGCACTGTATGGGTCATGAGGGAACTGATCCTCCTAAAAACTAAATGAATGCTGCAGGAAACTGTTTGTTTTAAGCCCATTCAGTTCCTTGATTTCATTTACAGAAAGACGACACAAGGCATGGAGAGGAGCAAATAGGTTGGCAGATGAGAGCAGGATTTTGATGATAATACTGAAATTCCAGCTGGAAGTGGTGATGAAGATACAGCATCTGTTAGAAGAGAGGAAGGTGGCAGGAGCTGACGTGGTGGATGGATAGGAGGTCTCATGCCAAGGGTCAACGTCACCACGCAGGATTTTGTCAAGTATATTTATTTTCCCTGTCCTCCAGGCCAAGCATAAGATTAATTTGCTAAGATTTATTTTCTTTTAAATAGGAAAATTTAATTTCAATAGAACTGTGGAAGAGATCTTGGATTTTGAGTTTAGCAAAGGACTGAAGGAAGGAGGTAGCATCTCCTCCACTGGGGGTTGGTAAGAACAGATTAGACGAATGGTGTTTGTCATGGGCATGTTCCTCCATGCAGGTCTCCAAAAACTCTCCTTTGACCACAGCCCTCACGAGGGGTTCACAGTGGTTGCAGCTTGAAGAGCTTCAGTCAAAATCCAGCAGAGTAACCCAAATATTTTTCCATCTGGTGCCATGCACGGCATCCCTGGGGACCACTTGGTGTTTTTTTACCCACACTTGTTTGCCACCAAGGTGACCAATTTGTCCCTCAAGGACTGGCAGTGCTTGGGTTGTGTTCATGTTTGTTGTGATGGCACCTCTGTGGGCTTCAGTTGAGATCAGATCCTGTTTTCCCAGGCTCTATACCATTGCTGCAGAAGGTAATACCTTGCACTGGGGGAATATAAACTAAAGGAGACTGAGCAGATGAAGGAAAGGAAAAGGAAGGATGGTATAACATGCAAACAAGTGTCACTGGGGCAGAATTAATACAGAGTTGCTAAATATATGCTTGGATGGATTTCATTTTTAACTTTGGGCTAAGATAAGGGCTGGCACAGCTGATAGGAAAGGAGTTTTCTCACCCCTCCATAAACTTTTACATTCCCTTGAAGCATTTGTGAGAATGTTAACTGCTTGTGCTACCTGAGCTGCATCAAACATGCACCCAGAGGTAGGGTAAAAAGGTGCTCTAATAAAACATGCTCTCAAGGTGTTGTAATTATTATCTATGCTTATGGTACTTTAATCATCATTCCTCCTCATTTTTTCCTCTTATAAGTAAATGAGAAGAGTCTTCTTTCTGAAACTAATTCTCTTACACCTCTTCCCTTCTTTCCTTAATAGTATCTGATGTTGATGTGTTCTTGTCACACAGTCACATCTGTGAGCAGATGGGTTAGCAGCTAAGGACACTCATCTTGTGTCCTGCTTGGTGCTGTATTTTGGAGTTTAGAGTCAGCGTTGCCACCTAACCCTTATGTTTGTTTGGATTTTTGCTGCTTCTCATCTCTGTGTGGAATCCATCTACCCTGCTCACCCCAGCCAATTCCTACTTGCTAGTTTTAAGCTGTGGTGAAGCTTACTTGAGTCCTTGTCACTAAAAGGCAAGACTTATGTTCAATCCCCTTCCTAATACTGCTGCTCAGGTCTCCCTGCTCCCACTGGGCTTTTGATCTGGGGAGGTAGTGACAGGGAAGGAGAAGGTTTCCTCACCACCAGCCAAGGTGAGGGTGAGGAGAGGCCAAACCCAGACAAGCTGCACAAGCATCCTCTTCCATGCCTGTGGGAGACATGGGATCTGCCACTGCTGGGATGGTCCTGGGGCCAGGTCTCCCCACCAATGTGCTCTAGCATGTGGGATTAGAGAGTGACTCTGTGAGCAGAGGGAAGGTTGTCCTTACTGTCCATCTCAAAATTCTGCATCTACAGGCTGCAGCCTGAGAGATCTCAAAGGCTTAAAAGTCTCCCACCACATAGGAAATTGTGTTCTTTCTTTGTCTTTCTCTTTCCTGGCATTCGAGGAGGCTTAACAAGTCACTGGGGACAGAAACAATAATATCTCTGTATCTAATGCTTACTGTAAGCAAAAGATGGATTACAAAATAGTCTGTTTATTTTTAATTATTAATGTGTTTGTGCTAGAAAACCTTCACAGTTAGTTTGTCATGGATGGAAAGGAGATGAACTATTCGGCAATCATATTGAAAACAATAATTATTCATTCTGGGCATGGCTATTTTTTTTCCCCCCAAGTGTATAATAAAAATTTTTCAAAGCATATACTGAGCAAAGGCCAGATAGGGTTGTCTTGAAACAAAGGGTGGCAGAAATCAGGGTTTTTTTCCCAGTTCGGAGATAAAACTCTTTGCTTTGCCATTCCTCAGTTTTCTAACTAATGGCTTGGTGCATTATAATTCTTCAGTGGAACTGAGTGAATCAGTGGCAGCTTTCAGAGTACAGCTTCTTGTGTTCCCAGAAAAGAGAGAGCAGAGGTATTGCAGTATTGTAGTTGATCCAATCAATTGCTGATGGGAAAGGACTTGATCTCAAAGACACGTGCTGAAGTTGTCTTGCGTCTCTCTGTCCGGCCTTCCCCAGCCTCCTTGGTGTAACATATACTACGCATATACCATGACAACCTTGGCAAAGAGAGTTCTGTGCCCTTTATAAGGCTACTCTTGGCACCACATGGGGAGAATTGCTTGCAGGGAGCAAAGAGGGTGTACCCCAGCTCCCCTGCAAGCCCCTGTAAAACTTGAGCCTGTGTAGCCCTTAGACATGTGCTGTTGTGCCGAGCCTTGCTCCAGCAAAGCCTCCCTGCCATGAGGCAGCCCCAGCACTGTCCTGCTCTCCTCTCCCCAAAGAGACACCAGGGAAGATGTCTCCCTGGACTATTTACAGCGCTCTCCTTGCAATGCACAAGAGGAATTATCTGCCTCCTCCAGCCCTCAGCTAATCCCTAAATTGCATCTATACTGCAAAGCTGAGTTTGTTTTCATTTCATCTAGTAGTTTTAAGTATTACGAGGAATAAAATGGACATGCAAAGTGGTGCTTTAATTTTCAAGGGCAGTAAAGTGTTTTATTTTTAGGATGCTCTTATTGAGGAATGAATCTCTGGCAGGTCTTATCTGGTAGCTAATAATAGTGACCTGGTGTGCCCCGAGTGGTGCCGGTGCTGCTGCCCTGCCCTTCTCACGCCGCCTGCTTACACCGTTTGCTTCTGATCAGCTCATTAGAGCCTCCAAAATTACAGGGTCTAATAATGTAATAACAAGGTTTGCTCATAATAATTAACACCCTCCACTCTGTATTATTACTGGAAGGGTAACATTCATAATTAGAGAGCACAAATATTTACTCTAAGCAGGTTTTCTGCACGGTCTTTAGGAAATGATCTGTGTGTCACCATTTTTCATGTCACATTAGAAAAATCAGAGAAGGGGTAGCTCATGGCCAGAGAACCTTTTTTTAGACCCAAACATCCAACTGACAGTTTTCAAGCAGTTTCTGCTCTTAACTTCAATATAAGTCTTGCTTCCTAGGAGCTATTTATTTTTCATGTAGTCTTTTTATTGATAGCAAATGGATCAAAAGCTGAAGCCATTTCACATTGTGAAATACAACTCCCCCAGTGGCAGTGGTGCTACTCCCACTTTGTGGTTACAGTTTGTCCCTGGACACAGAAAATAAGCATCAGCATCTCAGTGCCCTAAGTGCATTTTATAAAACCCCGTACTGAAGTCTGCATCTTTCCTATGAGCAGAATTTGCTCCTGCAGTCCAGCAGCGTTCCTGTAGCTTGTCATCAAACCAAGAAGCACGCTTGAGGAAGTAAAAATAGAAATTCATTTTAGTAATGCAAATCCTGCAGTCCTATTTTGGGCAGGGAAAATCCCTCTATCATTTTTTAAAAAAGAAGTGCCATGGTCTAGTTTTAAGACTGGGTTTATTAGGGATTTAGTCAAGCAGTGTGTTACGGTGGAGATTCTCCTCTGCCATTTAAATGTATCTGTTTCTGATTAATCTAGCTTTTACGTGCTATAAATCCTTGCAAATTAGCTTGGGGTATGACCTCCTCCAGTAACTCACTCTGTTTTATTTACTTGAGTGGTTTTGGCAGATAAGTCCCCTCTATTCTGTCTTCCATGACTCCACTGGGAAAACAATAAAGTGAAGAGACAAAAACCAGTTTTAAAATATTTCACCCCCTCAGCTTTTGCTTTTTTCCCCGTTCAGGAGTGGCTTTTTGCTTATAAATCACAGTGTCCTAAACTGCTTGTGTGAATATTGCTGCACTGTTTAGTGACTTTGCAATGCTCTCTTTCTCATAGTTGGCGAACACCAGCTGACAGGGCACAAAGTAGCAGTAAAAATACTGAACAGGCAGAAAATCCGCAGCCTGGATGTGGTTGGGAAGATTAAACGAGAAATTCAAAACCTTAAGCTCTTTCGGCACCCTCACATTATCAAATTGTAAGTACCCTTTCTGCCACATGTTCAGCTTACTCCTCTGTCTGCAAAGACCTCCCATACACAGTTGTCTTGGTTTCAGGAGATGACTGAGAGTAGTAAAAAATGGTTTTGGTCAGGTTTTTGCATGTTAGAACAATGCACTGGAACAGGTTGTCCGGAGAAGCTGTGGCTGCTCCATCCCTGGAAGTGTTCAAGGCCAGGTTGGATGGGGGTTGGAGCAACCTAGTCTAGTGGAAGGTGTCTCTGCCCATGGCAGAGAGGGGGGACTAGATGGTCTTTAATGTCTCTTCCAACCCAAACTATTCTGTGATTCTGTGAGTTGCAGCATGGTCAGGCTTGTCGAGTGAGCTTTGGCTTCCAGTCAATAGGATTTATGTTTTAATGGACTGATTATCCAGACCTTAAAAGAACATTTAAAAAAAAATTTATTATTCAGACAGAAGTTTTCAAAATTGCCACTTTGATGAACCTGAGTTTAAGTTGTAAATCAGCACCTGCACTCCAGCCTCTGGGATTCCTTCTCAATCCCTAGTTTGTGCAGCCAGTCCACATTAATGAGGCACTCGATAATATCTTTGGCATTTCTATAAAAGAAAGCTGTTGAATGGTAACTGCAAGGATAAGTTGACATTTAGGTCAGCCTTAAAACTGGCATGAGATATAGCAAATACCTGGGACTTAGAAGCAAGGGAAAACAAATTCTCTCTACAGTTAAATAACTAACCATGCAGCAACTGTTGACTTTAGAGTAACTTCACAGTTCCATGGATTTATTGGAGAACAGATTGGTATTATTTCATGAAAAAGCCAGCAAGACTCCTCAGCTGTGTATCCAGCATCCTGCAAGTTAAGTCCTGTTCACACATTTGTCAAAGCAATAAAAATTAAACCCAGCTTGACAATATCAGTGTCCTATGGTCATACTGCAGTCATAAAATATGGTGATAAATAGGTGAGGAGGAGACTGTGGCACATATATCTCCTCTGTCAATAACTTTTTACATGTATATAAAAGGAATATTGGGGCAATTAACAGCAACTTAGATGTCTGGGTCCAAAGCTCTTCAGAAACACATGAGGTTGATCATGTTGAACTTTACGGAACTATCACTTGTTCATTTGCCGATCGCTGAAAGTTATTTGAAATCTCTGTGTTTCAAATTAAAACCCAGCTGTAAAAATTCATGAAATTCATCTGTAGGAAAAATAAAAAAAGATGCAAACAATAAAACAATGAATCTGAATAAAAGAGAAGGAGGTCTCAGCTGGTGCTGCTATGAATTCCTGGGGCTGCATTGACCTCGGCTGATCACTGGCAGTTTATTCCAGCTGGGACACTGAAATGCCCTTGCAGCCCTCAGGGATCATTTTGAATGAAAATGGAGAATAAATTTGCAACCCTAGGGTGATACACTGGGATTTTTCCTCCCCATTCTATAATATAGAGATATTTAATATTTGAAAAATAGTGTTTTGGGGGGTGAATCTTTGTTTCTGTACCTGTCCAAAAGAAACTCCCTCAAGTGCCTAGAGCTCTTCCTTATGTTCTTTATCCCTGATGTGAGGGAAACCAGATGTACCCACTCCTTGCCCCCAGCTAACAGAGCCTTCATTTCTAAAGCTGTTGTTGCAGATCATAGCCAAAATGGAAATTTGAAAGTCAGGACAGTCCTAACTGTGCTAAGATTGTCTGGCAGAGATTATAGAGAATTATTTAGAAGGTTGAAGGAAAACCATGGGTCTGTAAAGGAGATTCTTTCACAGACAAGTGAAAGATTATACTGGGAATAAGAGAAGCAATTATAAGAGCAAGATCCAAACAAATGCTTATTTTAAGCATCGATGTGAAATTAATAATCTATTTGAAATCATTTCCCTGTTCTTCTTAATTACATATTTTTTCTAAATCCACTTGTGTTTTTGAAGGTACCAGGTCATCAGCACACCAACAGACTTCTTCATGGTTATGGAATACGTGTCTGGCGGGGAATTATTTGATTACATCTGTAAGCACGGACGTGTAAGTGCCTGTACCATGTCAGCCCAAGCACTTGTGTGGGAAGAGGATGGTGTTTAGAAGCAAAACGATTGCTAAAGGGAACACAGTTAAGGTTAAGGCCCAAAATAGAAGTTGCTTCACAGCAATCCTGTCTGGAGTGTCTCGTACTCAGCTCACACAAAAGTTGTGTGCAATTTTTTGCAACATTCTCTGGTGTATTTTGATACCCAAACCCAAATATCCAAGGTAACGTGTTGCTTAGTGAAAATATTTGGAAAACTAGCTTATTTTTGTAATTTTTAGCTATAGCCTGCCTGTCAAAACCCCCATGGTTCA